TGAGACTTTTGGAAAACGATGACTCAAGCTGTGTCCTGATTCAGGGGCCGCATCCTTCGGGGGCTGCATTTGTAGACCGACTGCGTCACAGCGGCGCGACTGTACTGTCCGAAGGCTCCTTCAAATGCAGCCGAGAAATGTGTCCTTCCTTCCCTGGGCAATGAAAAATCCAACAGGTGGATCCTTTGTGGTCCAACCTATTCCAAGATTCATTGTGCACTGGTAATGAAAGCAAACTACACGCACAGAAGAGCCTGAGGATGACACTTTTGGTACAGCCGTTAAAACCAAGGGCTTTAAAACCTCAAGTTTAAACCTCAAGGCTTAAAAAGTTACAAGGTTGCTAGGCGTCAGAAGCCAGTAAGGGCGGGCACAGCTGGTGACACACGGCGAAAATCCTCCATGGGCCAGACCGTCTCATTTCAGTTCGACCCTCGTGGTCCACAAAGGGCCACACTTTTGTAGACCACGTCACCCGAAGGTTGTGGCCCCTGAATTGGGACACAGCTTACACCTCTGCCCCTGATCGAGTCATATCAGTCACTACTACCAGACAGTGGTGAATGTAACATGGATAGAGACCAAAGGTAACGCCACCAAATCATCTGGATACAACCAAACTGATGAATATGAAGAGAGACTGATAATCACCACAGTGATCGATCATTAATTGTAATCGAGGTAAAAGTCGGAAATAATCACCGGCTCTATTCTGTATGCTATTAAGATTCTTGAACTGGAAAGATGAAAAGATATGATTTTACTGCACTAACATTTCATTTTATGAAAATTAAACTTAACAGCTTCTCTGTCTTCTGGACAGAGAGAATCTGCAGCTCTGTGTTTTAGTGTGAAAATATTTCAAGAAACATCACAGCTCCAGACCCAGGTCCTGGGATCACTACCAGCCCTCAACCATCCACATCAGCCACACCTAGACTTCAGCGCTCCAGCTCGAGGAATATGATGGATATGATAAGCAGAGTCGCATCAATTATTTAGAAGTGAAGAACAACTAACCACAATTCTCAGTCTACACACATCCTCTGAGACACGCACACACTCAGCAGGTTCAGGCTCTCAGAGGAGAAGAGAGGCTCCGGGACCAGAACAGTCCACCAGCAGGAAGGACGAGAAAGACAATATGTAACCCACTCAGTAATGAACACACATGACATGGATCCATCATCACAGGCTCGGCTCCTCTTTGAGCACCACTTCCTGGAGCTGTGTCTGAGCTATGCTGCTGATCGTGACTGATCCAGCTGACGTAGCACAACATCAAAACAAAACACAACTACACCGGGGTCTGCTGCATCTGCATCTGCATCTGCATCTGCATCTGCACATGGCAGGACAACCAGTACTGCAAGAAGAACAACAGTGGAGGAAGCTCAACACAAACTATTCAAAACAAGACTTAGTATTGATACTTCAGCAATCTGCCCCTGGTGCCCACATATTTTAGGAAGTCGCTGGGCCTTTTTTAAAAGTGGAACTATATATACAGGACACAACAAACTGAGTGCACAGTAACTGGATCATATTGAAGGATATTGTACTGTAGGATATTTGATCTCATGATAATGAGTGAAAAAAAGACTGTAAAGGAGACTGTATAATCTAAACCTGACGTGATATAAATTTGGATATTATTGAGTGATAAGAATCACTGGACCGTAGAGCCTCTGGCTGGTGTGCATATTAAAACACATGGATCCACCATCTAACCATTTATTAGGTCAGGGGTTAGGCAATGGATGCATGAATGGTGAACAGATGGATAGATGGATGGATGGATGATTTTCTATACAACAAACAAACAAAAGTCAATGCATCGCCATGTCTAGCATAACAAATAATAATGAAAGTTACAAGATTGTTTACATTGTTAATGCATCCACTGAGGTAAAAAGGAGTCTTTAGATCACTTCACCTGGATTGTTTATCCGGTTTACAGAAAACATTAGTAAATGCAAGATGAAAAATTCTACACTCTTCTAAATGAAAACAATTTGCCTTACTTACACTTAACTCAAATGAAATATACTAAATGGCTCCAACGTATGATGTGCTTCCTCAAAGGAAAGTATCAACAGCTGCTTATACTTCTGGATCTGTTAAGATACAAATACACTAATAAATTCAAATTCATTTTATGTAAACATAAACGATAAGAACCTTCAACAATGGCAAATCATTTCAAACAACTTCCAACAGTGGCAGCATGGTTTCAAACAAAGGGGTCTGTAGAGAACACACCCACCCACCCTCCACCTACCTGATCTCCTGGCCTGGTCTTCAACAGGTGAATCTCTCCACCCACCCAGTCTCACGCAACCGATTCGAGAGCTTGAGATTCTTGAACAATTACAAACAAACCAGTTTGATAGGCTACACTGAAAATGTGGACCCAAAGTACAAAGGTCAGTACAGCTAAAGCAATCACACCTGTAATTTCCAGTTAAAGCTAACTGATGAACAATGTTATAAAATAAGCTGAACACCTCAGCTTCCTCACTTCTGATCTGGGTTGTGTCTAATGGCTCCACACGGGGAAGAGCTGCCCGAACAATAAGAAACCAGACGGAGAGGGACCAAGAGCATCAGCAGATACTGAACCTGTGGAACAGGTTCAAGGACGATCTGTGGAAACTGGTGTCTGAGTGACTGATCAGACATGAAGTCAACTTCGACAGACGGGCTCCATGAAGAAAACCACTGCTCATAAACAACAATAAACTTAACCAACATGAAGAGAAGCTTGATAAATGTTGGCAGCTAGTTCTTCAGATGAAGCCAAAACAAATTCGTTTGGATCAGATGTGGTTGAGCAGGTTTGGTGTGGACCTGGTCAGGACCACCACAGATGACACCATGAATGCAGGTTTCTATAGCTAAATGATGAGAAGGCGACTCGCGATCTGAAGAAGCTTCCAGCATGACAATGATCCAAACACACTGAAAAAAAATCACAAGAGTTTTAAAGAAGAAAATAGCGAAAACCACCACTCAGCCATGTCTGTCTCCTGACTTGAATCCAAAAGAACGACGGAAGTATTTTAAAGTGGAAGGTGGAGCAACAAACCCGCAGCAAAGCAGCAAAGAGCAGCTGAACAGACTCATCTCCTCGTGTTAGTCTGGTGTCATCTATGACCAGGAGGAACCAGTCTGTCCTCACAGAAAGAAGAAAGGTGGACATACAGAAAATAAAAAATAAATTACAAGAATGGATTGTCACCAGTGAAGGTGGACTGACTATTGTTGGTTCTTCAATATGAAACTTTCAATTTAATTTAAGCAGTCAAACATTTCTGGACTTTGGCTAAAGGCAAATAAAATTCTATTGAATGCACAGAATTTGTAAATATTTGTGTAATGTTAGTAGTATTACATACTGCAGGGGTCTCCAACAGATGGCTACCAGGAGCTCACCCAAAGGATCAGAGAATATACTGTACAAACCATGGATGTATAGTTCCAACTTCAACACAACTTCACTCAGTAAATCTGCTCCAAATAAAACTGAATCAAATACACAGACACAAATACACTCTTCAACACCAGATCATTATGTCAGCTGTCAGTCAAATGAGTTACTGTAATAAGTTTGAAGGCGACATGCAATGATAAGAACTCCTCTGATAACAGAAAAAACTTTTCAATAAACAGGAAATATGTTGCCATGGATACAGTGAGTTAAACTGTGGGCTTCAACTTGAGACCCATTTTTTGTTTGTTTGTTTGTTTACATTTTGATAAATGAAGTGAAGTGAATGATCTATGTTAACTTCCTGTTTGTTATGAACCATTGATGAACTGACAACTATCACTGATCACTGACTGAGGAGCTTCTTCTTCACTGGTTTCTAATCAGATTTATGGAGGTTTATTTGCAGTGGTGTTTTCATGTCTAATGTTAGTTTCACTATTTTTGGTTCAAAATGTGAGTTTTGGATATTGATGACTAAATGATCTTATTGATCTGATTTGGTTTGGAGATCAGTTTGAGTGTTTTGATACAATATGTGAATAAATGTGATCAGCAATTTAAGACATGAGGAGCTCTCAGGGTAGAAAAGGTTGGAGACTCCTGACATATTGTGTATGTGAGCAGTTTTTAATTAATGACTTCTTCAGTAGAAAACTCAGTGAGTCAGAGACACATGAAAGAGCAGCTGGTTGGACCTTTAACATCTTTGTTTACCATCAACCATAAAGACATGAATATAAGTGGATGTATGAGCAGATAAAGGGAAGGAACAGACCCTGGTCTATATGTAAAGCTGCAGTACAGCAGCAGCAGCAGTGTGTTAATAGATGCAGACCTACAGCCTGAGTTAAGTCTGACTGTCTCACATTCACTTTCTCTGCACGTGCGCCAGCCTCACAGCTGGTTCCTCTGTGAGGCTCTGATGGCGCGTGTTCCCTGGGCACCTTGGCAACCACTGCCGCATGGACAGCTCGTATGAAGTGGTCACATCATCATATTCTGCAGACACTCTGCTTCTCCGGGGCCTCCGTCCTCCTGTTGACTCACTGACAGTCGTTATGTAATTACTGCATTAAGGCAGAGAAAAAAAACCGCGCGGACAGAGGGACGGAGCGTCTTTATGGCCGTTTCCTGCACCTGACTGAGACTGCTCTGACACCGGCTCTCCACACATGCTGGGCCAGCAGTGTGTGCGTGGAATCACTAAACACCCCCCACCCCCACCCCCTCTCTCTGTCTTGTTAATTCTCTGCTTCCGCCGCTGTGACACCGCGGGGAAGTACTTGATGCATACGGATTGGCTTTGACACATTGCGGATCTCTCCATGGTACTGAAGGGGGAGCGAGGGGGGAGGGAGGAGGAGGGGGGGGGGATCTTTTTAGTCTCCTTCAGGAGCGGTGCTGCACCAAGTATGTGAGCCGGACTGACGCCGGTTTCTAACCCTCTCCATCTGTCACGTGGAGGCGGTCTGTGTCTCATACTGCAGTCAGAGTGGAGGGAACTCACCATGTTGACTTCAGACACCATGTCAATACTGGCGATGTCTATGCTCATGCCAACGTCCACGGGGGCGCCTGTGGAAAATGTGATGCAGAGCATTAGTAAGCGGCGCAGCGCCCCGCCGAGCGTCATATGAGCGGGCTACAGCAAAGACCGTAGCGGCGGCTCTTACCTCCGAAATCAGGCCGCAGCCGGATGTCGTAGCCCTTCAGCAGCTTGTCCACGGTGGCTTTCACGTAGGACATGTTGCTGGGTTCATTGGCGCTGAGGCGAGAAAACACATTTCAGTTGAGAGACAGGGAACAGGCCTGTGACATGACATATGATGTTATCATCAGAGCTCACCTCTGCGCCCCGCAGACCACCGCCACCAGGAGGGACAAGCACAACACCCCCAAGAATCCGCGCTCCACAGTAGTCCACATCACTACCTACTCCGACCCCTCCGACGACTTTGACACCAGGTTTCAGGGATTCAGATTCACACTGTAAAATTATTCCAACAGCAACGCATGCGCGTCGTTTCACCAACATCCAAGCGTCGGTGTCGAGGTGAGACAGCGCGGGTCTGGAGGAAAAATCAGCCGCGCAGGAAGAAAAAAAAAAACCCGCCTGTAGGCGAGGAGTTCACCTGAAGAGAAGAGGCTGGCACATACAGGCTCCCAGCATCCTAGATGTCAATACACAGACCCCCCCCTCCAGCACCCCTCTCAGCCTGTTCCTGCAGACGCAGTGTCCGGACCTGGTCTGCGTCAAGCCGGTCTTCCCGCCCGCTGCCGCGCAACCTGAACAGCTTAAATAGTGAGCGCTGATCCCGGCTCTCCGGTCACCTTTAGTGAGGAAGGAGAGAGAGGAGGGAGTGTGAGAGAGAGAGAAGGAAAGAGAGAGAGAGAGAAGGAGAGAGAGAGAGAGAGAGAGAGAGGAGGAAGAGAACAGAGAGAGAGAGGAGGGGGAAAGAGAGTTGGGAGAGAACAGAGAGAGAGAGGTGGGGGTAAGGATGAGAGGGGGGAAATAGAGAGAGAGAGGAGGGGAGGAGGGGGAGAGAGGGAAAGAACAGAGAGTGAGAGAGAGGAGGGGGAAGGAGGGAGAGAACAGAGAGAGAGGGGGGAGAGAACAGAGGAGAGAGGAGAGTGGGAGCAGGAAGAAGAGAGAGAGAGGAGTGGGGGGGGGCAGGGAGAGAACAGAGAGGAGGGAGGAAGAAGGGAGTGAGGAGGGGGGGGGTCTCTAACACCAGTTGGTCTGAGGAGGATCTCAGGATCAGGCTCCTTCAGATCCATCAGACATTATTTCTTCTTCTTCTTCTTGAAGGTGGAGAACTTTACATTGAGCTGTCAGACTGTTGGCAGCAGAGTCACAGTGTTATTTTCACACTGTAGATTATTTACAGTTCAGCCCCTCACCCTCCAGCCTCTCTGGGAGTCCTGATCTCTGACAGTCACAACCAGAACCTCCTCAGGACTCTGGACCCACCAACCTCCACAGGTCATGGAAGAACTGGGATGGTGTTGTTTTGTTTTTATTCAACATACAACATACAAATCATACAGCGTGGAGATGCTTATGTAATTACACTTGTTTTAACATGTTTTTTTTTTTACATATCTGTTCCAAACCTTGTGAGATGGATTTTTTCTGTTCATAACAGAATTCCTTACACATTATCCAGTACCACACCAATCCTACCTCCCCGCAATGAACACTCCTATCACTGTAGCATTTGTCAAACGAACACTGGAGCTTAAGCCTAAACGATAGCACGAAATAAAACAAACAAGTCTACTAAACTTAAAAATACACATAAAAATAAATGTAAAATAAAACAATGAAATAATTTAAAGTAAAAAAAGGAGAGAAAGAAAATAGAGGTGACGAGAGTTGTGGCATTGCTCGTACTGATGGTAACTATCTCTCCACCTGTCTGTTCGATTCAATTCCACTCACTGAGTGGTCGAGCCGTCCGCCCCGACCGATTGGGTTTGGGAGGTGGTGAGGGAGGGAGGAGAGAGAGTTCTCTACTGTAATCTTCACCTTTTTTACCCTCTCTCTCCATCTCATTATAGTTTTTATAGAAAAAGTTTAAAAGTTTTATGTGGGCTTGTAAGATGTTTGTAAAGGCTGTAAATAAATATCTGTATATTGTATAAATAAAATAGTAAATATTTTCTACTCAGTTGTTCATATTTACATCATATGGACCTTAAGTATGATGCGCTTTACTTTGACAATAAAAATAATCAGTGTATCCATGAAGCAGATTTATCGATGTAATTATTCTTTGTACCCCATCAGCCTGTGGAGACGCCTGGTGGAGAGACTGCTCCCTCTCTGCGTCCTCCTCAGCCTCTCTCTCTCTCCTCCTGTGGTTTCCTCCCGTTGTCTGTTGTTTGATGTGATGATGGAGGGAACCCGGTGGCAGACGGTGCAGCTGGCCTTGTAAACATCATCACTCACACATCTTTTTACTACTCCCTTCAGTATTTCTGCAGTCTCTTCTTTTTTCTTTTTTTTTTTCTTTGCTGGCAGACTACAGAGGTTGCCATTTTCAAATCTTGGTGGGCGTATCATAGCAACACTAAGAGCATTTCTCATTGGTCATGACCAATGAGAAGGACATTCTCTGTTTGGGTAGTAGACTGTTAATATAACAGTCAGACTGAGGGAGAACAGGAGGTTTTCCCCTTGATTCTCAAACATACAGGACAGAGCTCGTCCTGTATCAGTTGCTGAACTTTGTCTTTTAATTATCAGTTACAGGATGAGTCCATATTTTGTATTTTCCATATTTCGAACTATTGATCTTTTGAGGTGTTGTATTTGGGGACTGCCCTCCTGTAAAGAAATGAGCCCACAGGTTGTGCAGCAGGTTATTATGACCCATAGTTACGTTTTGTTGCTAGGAGACATCTACTGGTTGTAGTAATGATGACAGGAGCAAAGGGAAAAGTGCGGTGACGTGGTATAAAGAGAGACAAAGTCCACGTCAGGAGGAGGTTGTGGTGGATGGATGAATATGACACAGGAGAGCGGTGTTCGACTACCATGTGAAATTAGGTGTATATATTGTAACCATGACAACAAAGGCCGTATAATGTTGAGAAAGTACTTATTTTAACCCAAATCACGACCTTTCCGAATCCTAACCAAGCCATGACCGCCATGGCTACAAAGGTAGGTACACTGCTGTCGACACAGTCTGCATGTTTATTATTGTAACTATGACGATAGAGGTCTGGTACACCTGCTGCTGTAGGGGGCTGTATCCTGGAAAAAAAGGTTGAGGTTGTTCAGGTTGGAGGAGTTGTTGTTTATTTTATTCCCTCTAATTCGGAGTCGTGACAGTACCATCCTGTCTGTATGGAGCTCACTGTTCAGGTCATTCACCACCATGAGCAGCAACTGTCTTTGCTAGCTGGAGAACTGCAGGAGGTTTCCATCCACATGAAAGCTTCCTGCGGTCCATCAATCAGCAGCTCACCAGCCTC